ATTTATATGAGATGGACCAGGCTGTCGAGCACTTGACTTGAACTTGGTTTTAGCTTTTACTTTGAATTGATTCTTAGGTGTCTGCTTTGACATTGTTGATTTTTTTATCCTTTTCTTACTAATTTCATGTTCTTTCATTTTTAAAACAACATCTTCATTCAGTTCACGACCAGCAACAATTTTACTCATAGTGTTTCAAGGTTTACCTTGTTTTTTTCAAATTTCACTTTATGCAACTGCGTTTCTTTCTCTTCAAACATAGTTACGGTAACAGACATGACTTATCTTATCATCTACAAGAACACCACCAACAACAAAAAAAATCTTGAATAATAAGGCGAAGCATTTTAAGTTATAATCTCTTTTGTTTAATTATTTTATATCTTAGCCACATAGGGTTTGAAATAGAACAGCCTAATACGACAATCGGCAGCGGAAGAAATCTCCGCTTGAAAAAAGAGCGTTAGTGATCTTCTTTCTCTTGCCTTGTTAGAATCGAAATAAAATCGTTTCGAGCGCTGTTTATCGCCTATTTAACGCATGTTTTGTCGTTTTGATTCGAAAACAGACACTCGGGCCTACTGTCTCCATGGTCAATTCCTAGGCATCCAAATTCCAAAGCGGTGTTAAAAAGCCGATACACACCCTAGTTTAAATGCCAATAATATTTTTTAAATTTAATGTAAGATTGAATAGAGAATAGTTTTTACATCCTACAAATAACGTATGGCTGCACGTTAAGAGGTTTCAATTACATTTCTTAATTTTTAATATTTACTATGGCATCTATGTCTGTCTTAATCACCAGAAATAATTTATCGATGTAATAACTAGTGCTTATTAGAAACAGTCAAAGAAAAAATAAACAGTTAAGTGTGAGGAATGTTGCACTTTACATTATTCCTCATGTGCAGACTCAAACCGAGCCTGCAATTCTTATGTAATTTTGTTGTGATTAATGCTTCCGAGGGATCTCTTTGTTTCCAGATTTTTATATTAATAACTAGTAGCCCGTTATGTTGGGCCTCGTTTTGTCTATGGAGTACACAATTATAAGTTCATTTTTGTTGGTTTAAAATAATTTTTGATATACTTGGCCGCTTTTGTTGTAGGTTCGAATTCCACCAGGGACTTTTTCATGTTAGGACTCTCTCTGGTGGCGTACGGAACTTCGGTGGTTTTGCTATGTAAGGCGTCCGCTTATGCCTGAAATAATGATCGGAGGGGCACAAGGGTTCTTATTCCACCAACCAATCTGGAGGAATCTTACTGTGTTAATGTGACTGGAAATAAGATATGTTACAATTGTAATAATTCACAGAACAAAAAGAAACCGACACAGTTGGTTTCAAAGACTACTGGTTACACTGTCAATGATAAAATGAAATAGCAACTGATGCTTCCCAAAATTCTATGTTATATTTAATCGATTTCGAGCAACATAAATTTATATTATGCTATAAGAGTATCTTAGTATTTTAACAATTTACAATAAAGTTTATAACTAATTATGATATTTCACGCCATAGGCACTTGCTTAAATGATTTTCAATAAAGGTCAAGTTGAGTTTATCAGATTTCAATTACCGTTATTAATCACGTCATTAGTTATTTTCTAAAAAGATAGAAAAAACAAATATTGATAACACAATCAATTCAAAACCTTTTGTAAAGAAATACATGGAATAATGCTGTTCGGATTATTCATATTTCTAGTAACATGTAAGTATTATTATTGTACTTTTTTATCTTATTATTAATTTTGTTTCTTCCTAATGACATTAATCATTAATTAATTCAATCCTTCATCCATTGTTTGTACCCTTTTCTTGTTATTTTTTGTTGTTCTTGCTTTTTTCGTTTTCACAAAATAGTAATATCAAATAAACACTTTTCAAATACTATTTTATTCTTTTCTACTAGTATCTTGATATTTATTTCTTTTTAGATGTCATCTGCATTTCTGTTTGCGTTTTATTTATTAAGCAACTGAATTAACTTATTTGTCTTTAGTCATGATTGTTGGCGTCCGCGCCGAAGCGCGGCGCTCTTATGGAATGAAATCAGATTTTGTGAAAGGGCGACAGCAACTTCTCGAGCCTTTTAGTCGATCATAATAAAAGCCGAAAATTCCGATCGGTATGAGGGTGCTTGATTATTAATTAAGAATGAAATGTCGCGATATGTTACAGTGAATTTTCGCAATGCAAACATTTTCAAATGAAATAACCTTTTCCGTCAATAAATCGCGCTCTTCGGGGTTTTTTATTTATCATTTTGTAGTACACAGTCGGTTATCATGGTATGTTATTGTTGTACATGTATCCTAGAATGATCAGTTGATGACCTAAATAATCCAAAAACCTATTTATAGATATATCTTTTTATCACTCCTATCGGTAAATGCCGGTCTCTCCCGGTCTATTTTTTGACCAGGATTTACTAGTGACCGGCGAATAGTACCACACGTTTATTGTCCGGTCTCTCCCGGTTTTGGAGTAGATGTTTGATATCGTTACAATTAGAAAAAAAACAACAATAGCATGTTTCATTTTATCTATATGAGATAAAAACAATAAATATGTACACGGATTTATATGTAATATAAATCCGTGATATGTACAATAATTGAGAAAAAGGTACATTTTTTATGGTATTAAAATGACATTATCAACTTTGAAACATTTTATTTAATTTGTTATCCGTGTTTGGTAAAGATGCCGAGGAATTATTCAAAGTTACAAATTAGATTTTATGAATTATTCAATTGATTGATAATTTAAAAAATGTTAAGAAAAATACAATGTACATGTACATGGTTTAAGAATAAACAATATTATATATTGAAAGATAAACCATAATTTACTGACTTTTTCCAGTTAAGCTTTGACTTATAATCGTCGGTCAATATGACAATTGAATTTTTAAAATTTATTTTACAATTTTAATAAAAAAGAGTAGTAAAAACTCAATATTAAAATAGCACATAAAACACAAAAAAGAATAAAAGAAAACAATATTCATAAAATTTGTATTTTTTTTAATAAAAACTAATAGATATTACAATTATTGTATAATAAACAATTATGCTCAACATGATCAACATGGTAATATAACCAGTGTCATATTTTTACTAACTTAAAGTGTGAACAGATACCTTAAGGGGGTCTTCGCTAATAGCGAGAACATAATAAGGGACAAATGTGTGGTACGTGTTGATCATGCGTTACACATATGGATTATAAATGATTGCATACATGTATATCAGTTGCTATTAATAACCACGATCATAAAGAAATAACAAGTAATATTCTAATCTCTAGCATGCCAATTAAAGTTCATAATGAACAATGTCTTTCGTCCGCTCATTCATAAGTGATATACATTTCTGGTAGTTTATAAGAATATCTTGTCATCATATGTGTACTAATTCATCTTCACTTGCTGCATTTCTTGCTTGGACGCCCTTTGATGCTTTGCATCAATGCTTTTCTTGTGTTTTACTGTATTTCACTTTGTATTTGGTGTAAATTGCACATAAAATAGAGAAAGCAAGAATCCCTAAAGAAAGTCCAACACAACATTACTGAAAATGCTGCAGGCTCGGTTTGATCGAGTCTGTTCATGGACGGTACTGTAAAGCGCAAACTACCGTCCTAGCCCCGTAGCACCGTCTTAAGCAGAAATCAACATTTAAAATGAATTGGTACAATTTGGAAACATCCGCAGATGTGTTCATATGGCGGTTATCATGGAACCTTCAATGTGACAGTAAGTGCCATTCCATGAAAAGCGGCATATGGTCCCCAAGTAAAAAAGATGCGTGTGCCCTAAACGAGCAAACAATGGGCGGAACTAAATAAAATGGAATTTTGAAAGGGGATCAGAGGTTATGAAGCCTGCATATCACAGATAATACGTCAAAAGACAAATTTAAAAAGCAAGCCACATATCCTAAGGGTGATTCAACAGTATTCAAGTGAGGAATACTGGAACCACCCAACAAGAAAAAAGCCAAATAGAAAGAACTTAAATACCACAAGCACAACAATTATGTCGTGCTAAACGAGTTTTAAGGATCGGAAATATCATTAAACCACGACTTATTGCGATGTTAAATCTACATATGAATTTATTATTTCAGTGCTTTTTCTAAGTGTGATATACGGCATTGAGTAAACATGTATAGTTTTATAGATTATTTAACTGCTAATTTTGAGATTTGGACATTTTCCTTGACGGTTTACAATACCATATGTCATGTTAACCAAAATAGCCTGGTGTGCTATACCAATAAATCACATAGTTTTTTTTAACCATAATTAGATGTTATTACTTAATGTTTTGTTTCCTAATGTTAAAGTTGCGCAAATGTCATATCGTGAATGACTTTTATGTGCTTTACCTTACAAATAAAAGAAACTTTATGAAATTCAAGAAAAATAGTGATAAGCAAACTTAAATGAAATATCTCACGTGGATGTCATGACAACGATGGTTGATTAGGCTACATCAATTAACATTTGAGTATGAGATTTGTCATCATTTCAGTAACCAGTTTGGTTGAATGCACCTCTATTGACAAGTTACAAACGAAAATAAAGAATGGCATGACAACGGATCAAGAAAGGTTTTCATTTGTAGCGAAGATTGAGAAGGATGGAATACATGTTTGTTCATGTGTTCTTATAGACAACAATGTTGCCATAACATTGACGTCATGCGTTGAAGGGTAGCCATTTATTACTAATGTATACTATATCTCTGTAAATGTTTCTTAAAACAAAATGACTTTTTTTTCAATACGCCGGAAGTATTTTTTGAAATTTTCAAGTATAATTATATGATAATATAAACAAATATAAAAAGGGGTAAATATTAACATTTAATAACGTTTCGGACTGAATTGTTTATCTACCTTTCACGTAATATACTGACTAATGGTACAAAAACCTTCTTTGCAATATTAATTATTTATATTTGTATTTATTAATCATTCAAATAAGGATGTATTCGAAGCTTTTTTTAAATAGAACAAAAAGTTCTAAAATGACTTTCAAAATTATTTATATTTGTATTTATTAATCATTCAAATAAGGATGTATTCGAAGCTTTTTTTTAAATAGAATAAAAAGTTCTAAAATGACTTTCAATATTATTCAATGTACTTACAGGCCATTGTCAAATATAAGAGTTCTAATCAAGAGTGGTAACCGCGGAAATTTTACGTCTACAAAGATTCAGAACACTATGGTAGATAAGTATTTAATATTGTGATAATATAACGTTCCTCTTACAATATGTGTCGAATAAGATGCTTAGATACAATTCTGATATTTAATTTTCGTATGGCACAACAAAACATGTAAAAATCATTGTAAATAAAGTGCAATAAATTATTATACGTATATCATTAACTTCCACGATGCTATAAAATACATGTCCATATATTTTTTTTTTAAATGTAAAGCAAGGTCAAAAAGTTTTGGTACTCAATGTATCCAATTTTACTTCATAATATGATCATAAACATGCAAAATGGATTTCTGAATAACTCCAGTCATCACACGCAGACCTTTTAAAAGTCAGAAATAAATTAGTTTTCTTTAAAAACAAACTAGAAAAAATGGCCCGAAGATATCTACATTATGGAACATATATTTGACAGAGTTAATATACATTAAAAACATATTGAGTAAAAGTATGTTTTTAAATTCTCATACAAGTTTTAAGTTAGATAAGTGATATAACGTTTTGTGAATAATGAGTTACAATTTCATCTTATTGGAATATGCAATATATATATAAATACATAACATTTCTGCAGAAACTTGATAAGAATAAAAAGGTCACCTTAATAGAACTAGAAAAAAAGATTGCAAACAGAGGCACACTGCCCAGCAGACGATACAGTATGAAAAAGAGCTCAGTCTGTAAAGTAGTTGGATTTTCATGTAAGTATTCACAACACAACTAAAAATTGCAATTAGATTTTTTTTTAATTTTAATATAAAATGATGGGAATATTTTTGTGTATTTGTATCAATTAAACATAATTCTTAGAAACATTTTCTTATAACGCAAATGTAGTGCCTTAATACATTTAAATATTAGTCTCCCACTAACAAAAAATTAACAAAACATTTTGCCAAATGTAGTACTCAAATGGAGAGGTTAGTGTCCATTATAAGATGATTCGTCGTAATTAACCGTTACTTTTCAACATTTAAATATCGGTAAAGACGAATTGTCTATTGTATCCTTTTGTATTAATTTGTATTTAAATTTCAGTGTATGTTATATTTGTATATTTCATAAATGTATACCTCTTAAAAAACTTAAAACAATTTGTGGTCGTAACATTGATATGACTTTCAGCTCATTAGATAAATGAGCCTTGTTAAGGAAATAAAAGTGAGTAGGTGTTTTATACGGTGTCTTATTTTGTCCACAAAATTTCGCTAGTAAACATGTGATAATTATCACCTCGAAAGGTCGAAATTTAGTACTAGAATTCGCATTTCTTAAATTTCGCTAGTCTCTCATGCGATAATTAGCGCCCTTCAACGCACAACATACGAAAATTAAGACTATAATGATCGAGTTAAAAATAAAAATTGTTAAATTTCGCTAGTATATGTGTCCCTGTTTTCAAGAAAGGGCCCTCGAGAGATTAGAGAAATTTAAGACATGCGAATTTTCGCCCTTTTGAGGCGATAATTATCGCGTGTTACTAGTGAAATTTTGTGGACGAAATAGGACACCGTAGTTTTAGTATGCTTTTATAACTATTTTTATATCCATCGGTGTTTTTCGTTTCAATATCATTTATAGCTAATGGCAAAAACCTGGAAGAAGTAAAATTTAACACAAAGCCACTGAATAAATGTTCAGTCACAGACAAAAAGATGTACTTTTGCTATGATGTAGAAAAGGAAACAAAGTTGTGTCAGGTAAAATTTCACTTCTGAAAAATCTTTAAATCCCAAAAAGTATACAATGAACTTAAAAAATTTGGGGCACAAATATACTGATTATATATATTGCGACGGTTTTCAAGCATGGAAAAAATAAAATATATTTTCAGCAGGTACTTGATTATTCAATTTCATTAATTATTTTAATTAATTTCTAGTTATGAAATAGCACAAATGTGGGTCCAAGACCCTAATACCTGAGGGGGTATAAATGTTATATCAAATATATCGTGCCCGAAATGCTACAATCTTGAAACCAGAGACGCATGTTGTCACATACATTCAGGTATGATTCCCTAAGTTTTATTATCTAAAGGCTCATTTTGCCTGAGATATGCTTTCAATGTACAATCAGTAAATTATAGTTATAATAGTTATAATAACAGATTAAATTTTAGAATGACAATGGTATTGCGATTGTTTGCAAGCATGGAAGAAAATGGCTTCTTTCAGGACTATCGTCTATAAAGAAAGGCTGCTATAGCAAAAGTTTGCTTGGTATTAACCTATCATATCTCCTAAACTCAATACAAAAGGTAATGTTACAATTTATTATTCATATGTCCAGTCGTTATATTCCATTACTTTTTTCTATGTCAACAGCTCCGGTTTTGTAACGCAAACGTTTTTTGTATTGTAATTATGCATAATTTCAACAGTTTGTTGTGATGTTTTTTGCGTTATAATTGTATAAACATAGCGTTAAAGCGCGCCAATGTTAGCGTCACACTATAGGCGCGTCACTGAAAAAAAAAACTATTTTCAACAGTTTACCGTTCTTATTGTATGCATGTGATCACTAGAATATTATATATATATATATATATATATATATATATATATATATATATATATATATATATATATATATATATATATATATATATATATATATATATATATATTTGACAATTCTGATAGTAAAACTATTGTTATTGACTGTAACTAATAAAAATGTTTTACAATTTGTCATGAACGGTGTTGAAAAAATACTGAAGTGTGATACAGGGAGCAATGAGCTAAGTATATAACTGTATAATTATATATTTAGCATCCAATGAAGAAAGTTTGCACATTTAAATGGTA